GGGGGGGGGGGGGGGGGGGGGGGGGGTCAAGAAGGCGGGATTTAGCAAGCGTCTTTCCTCGGCAGTGCCAGCTTCGGGGAGTTCTTTGCCTCTAACAGTTGTTTATGTTCCAGCAATAGGGGTGAGTAAGGCAAGGCGCCGGGTAACAGGAGAAATGAGACACCAAGCTGGAACTTATTTCATCTCCTCTTCTCCCCAACTTCTCTTTCTCCCCTCCCGCCCTCACAGGGATGGGAGAAGATGCTAACTTCTTAAACTTCGAGGGAGGGGAAGCGAGAAAATCCTAGTGAAGGAGAGTATAAACAATGGCTGCTAAACTAATTAATGTAACTTCACAATCTGTTCTGGAAGTGTGAAAACTTTCTCCTTGCAATTGCATTAATTAGAGATGCTTCTGGCCAGAGGAGTTCAATTTTGCAGGCTCTTGTGTGAGGAGCCTTTTGTTTCTGTTAACTAGAACTAACAGATGTGGTTGACACATGTCCCCATTTCGCTTAACAGCTCGGTAAATGACATTTAAGGCGATGGGTCCCGTTGGGTCTCTGCTAAAATAAAATGAGGGTTCTCCAAACGACCCTGGTGTCGGGCCACCAAGGCCCCGAAGCAGGGCTAAAGTTAGCCCATGAGACCCCCAAATCCTAAAGAAAGTGCCAAGGGCCCGATGACCCCGGTTCAGATTGTCAGGCTGACGGGTGGAAGAGTTCTGCCACATGATTAGGAAGGGACTGGGTAAAGTTAAACAATTGTTCCTATATCTTTACGACTTTGGGGAACAGCGCAGTTTTTAAATACCTTGAAATCAAACTCCATAAGCAGGGAGCACACGTTTGCACACACAGGGACCCAGGCACATTCACCCTTGTCCCCAGAATATTAATCCTGCACCATCCCCTCCCTACACACAGCCTGCGGAAACTTCTATGATTCTAAGAATAGAAGCGCATAATTAATATTTTATGGCCTTGGCTCATGAAAACAACACCAAAATACCTCCCCCCTCCCCTCAGTTGGAACTTGAGGAAATCCAGCCCGCAGGGCCTGCTTCCTCAGAAGGTCCGCACGAGACAGACAGCGCAGAATACTGACCTGTGTGAGTTCGTTTGTGTATTTTGAGATTTTCTGATCTAGCAAAGACCTTCCCACACCCCGGGAAAGGACAGGGGAAGGGCTTTTCGCCCGTGTGCACGCGGATGTGATTTACAAGTTTGTATTTGGCTTTGAAGGGCTTGCCCTGGCGCGGACACTCCTCCCAGAAGCAAATGTGGTTGGCCTGTTCCGGGCCGCCGACGTGCTCCACGGTGACGTGCGTGACCAGCTCGTGCATGGTGCTGAAAGTTTTAGAGCAGAGGCGCTGGGGCGCGGGGCCATCCCGCGCCAGCCACTTGCAGATGAGCTCCTGTTTGATGGGCTGGCGCATGTAGCGGAAGAAGGCTCCGGGACCATGGGGCGCAGCGAGGTTCACCGTCAGGTTCACGCCCCCGTAGCCATGCAGCGCGGCGGCAGCTGCCAGGGCATCGCTGCGGGCCGCAGGCCCTGGAGCGAAGGACTCAGGCCGTGCGTACATGTGTCCGGGGAGCCCCAGACGCAGAAGTCCGTTCAAAGGACGGCTGGGGGAGGCCTGGGGAGGCTGCTTGTGGAGGTCCAGGAACACCGAGGGGCTGGAAGCGGCGGCGAGCTGCGGGCCATGGTGTCCGGAGCTGCTACCTGTTGTCGAGACAAATAGCGCGCGTGAGATCGGGTGGCGTGGGCTGCACTCTTCCCCGGGCCCCGGGGGGGCAGGCCGGGCCCAGCCGCACCACGGCCTCTGCCGTCAGCGCTGTACCGCGAGCCAGACCGCACTAGCACTGAACCCGGTGGACAGAGCAAGGCCAAACGCCTCCGCCGCCGTCGAGTCGGTCTGCTGTTCGACCGAGTCCCCTGCCAAGCCAAGAGCTGAAGAGGGATGGTGGCAGCGGGGCCGGGGGAAGGAGCAGTGGGAGGCGCAGGATTGAGTCCGGGGGATGCTGGGGACTCTGCTCCAGAGGGGTCTGACCTGCGCCCCAAGTACGGGGCGGTCAACAACCCTGGGTGTTCCGAGGCGCGGCGCCCTGCTGGGGAGTGGAGGTGATAGAAGTGGCGATGCTGGAGGTGCTGATGTTGGAAGTGGTGGCGGTTCTGAAAAGCCCCCACCATATATATTAATTTCGGTGCCCTGCTCGTCTGGGAGAGGGCGGCGTGCTGCATCCCGGCCTGGGCTCCCCAGAGTTCCCTGTGCTGGGTCCTTCACGCCACTGTCACCTGACAGTGGGGAGGGGAAAGGACAACCACAAAAAACTTCTGCGAACTTTTTTTTTTTATCAGGTTTTGGGTTTTGGCTCCCCCCCCCTCGGTTTTTAATGCCTACGTGAAATCCCGTTACACTGCAGAGGCAGCAGCAGGGCGCGCGAGGAAGTGAATAGAGACCCGGGCCCATCGACAGGAACAATCGCCCAGGTCACTCATTGGCCCTCGGCCGGGCCCGACGTCAGCGATAAGTTCCGCCACACGCGGTCTCTCTATTTCTCTCCCTCTTACACACACACACACACACACACACACACACACACACACACACACACACACACACTTTCCTCCCCCCCCGCCCCCCCCAGCATCTCACGCTTCTACTGCTCATGCGCTCTGACCCGGGCCCAGGTTCTTTTCTCTCCTCGAGCCCCCTCCCCCTCCTGCCCTGCAAGCTGAGTGGATCCGCTTCGCCTCCGGCTCCTGGAAGTCGGGGGGCTGGGTTATGACTCCATTCACCACCAGTACATGAAGGGGTGTGGCGCTGCGCGTGGTGTCCTCTGAGCAACCCTGTCGGGGTCGATGGGCAGCACCGGTGCGCGGATATGGCGGGCGGTCTGCCTGGGTACTTTGTCCCAAGAGCCGGGAGGTGGTGGCTGTCAGGTTCGAGGAAGGGGAGGAGGCTGCAGACCGGGCAGTCAAGAGAGGAGAAACTCCTAGGCTGGCGGCCCTTGTGCCTAGTTTTATTTTCTCGCTTTCTGAGGAATTTGTCATGTCCCCCATCTTCTTCACCCTCTTTCTCTGTCCTATTTACCCCAACGCCCCTACCACACTTCGCCTTCCCACGTGGACCCTGCATTCTCCCCTCCCCCTCTCCACCTCGCCGCTCTCGTCCCATGGATCGTCGCCGGCCCCTTCTTCCACGAGCCTGGCGCGCTCAGGGGCGAGTGAACGCAAGAATCCGACCTGCCCAGAGCCGGAATTAAGCGTGGGCGGGGGTGGCCGGCGACAGGCTTTCCTGAGAGGGCCCTCCCCACCACCAATCACGCCAAAGAAACAAAGACAAGGGGCGCGCAACCAGGAGAAACAGGTTCGGTTCCCCAGGTCTGCCCCGGCCATTCTGGGCTCCCGAGCTCTGTACCCGGCCCTGACACGGAGCCTCTGGGAAAGGGAATTTGCAGAGCTCTTCCTCTTTCAGCTCCGCCACTTGTTGACCGCGGGCCGAGCCTCTGCCTCCCTCCTTGCTCGCCTTAAGGGTCTGTAAAGAGTGGGTGCTACATTTCCGGTCCAGGCTCTGAGAGGACCTTTGGGCCCAGGGACTCCTCCCGCCAGACGCCCTCCAGTGCTGCGGGTGCCACAGTGGTGCGGTGTGGAGCGGTCGGTTGAGGGGGAAACAGAAACAAAAACAAAAACTTCAGTTCTGGCCCAGTCGAGTGTGGCATAAACGGGGGGTGGGAGGGGAGTGTCCTTTGTCTGCACCGACTGGCAAGGGTCAGCTGCACCGTCAGGCTATTTAAAAGGGCTGCTGGCCTCACCCCTGCCTTACTCGCTGTAGCTGAAAATTCCAGCCCAAAGTGCTCGGGCCTTCCTGGCGGCTGAAGAAAGCGCCCCCAAAGTAGAGAAAGTCTTAGAATTTTTAAGATAAATTTTAGGGATTGTGTAAAGATACTGTACCTTATTAGCAGAGGTGAGAAGTTTGGAAAGATTACAAAGTATTCTGACTCGAAATTTATTTTACTGTCCCACCAACCCCCAGCACTAAGGACTATTCTTACACGCCTCCTGGTCAGAATTAAAGGTTTCTTTTAGATTTGTAAAATAATTTTCTTATTTCTAATGGTTGGCACATTCTTTGAGACTTTCTTCATTTAATGCATTGTTTCCTGCTCACGGCTCCACTTTTTAAGAGATTAAGTTCCACAACAATTTCTCTTGGCTTTGACAAGTGCAGGTCTTACTGCCTCTCTGGTAGGAAGAGCTTAGGCAACTCTACCAGACACTGCATTAATATTTAAGAAAGAGAGGGGGGGTATGGAGGGAGGGAGGAGATAAGAGAAGAGAAGAGAAGGAAAGAAAAGAAAAGAAAAAAAAAGTCAGAGGACAGCATTTGACTGCTGGACTCCTCCTGCTCTCCGAACCAAGAGTTTTGAGAGCACACAGAAGTTTTGGGACTAGACTCTAAGGATTTGCCTTTTTCTCTGGCTTTCACCCTTGCCCACACACTCACTTTTTGGGGTTTACCCCCTCCCCCAGAGGCGCATCTCTCTGGTCCCTTACCCTGTTTCCCTTTCCTCCAAGCACTGGCCAGGTCTACTCACTAGTGAGGTGTCCTGCCCCTCAGTGAGTCCTTTCAGGTCTTCCCACCCACTTAGGTGTCTGACGAGTGATGCAGTTGTCAAGTCAAGTCTGGGATGAACCTTTCAAAGGCTCAGAAACCAAAAAAAAACAGACAAAACAAAATAAAAAGACCACAGTGTATTTCTCCCTGGGACCACTTGCCCAGATGTTTTGCTATCCATACCTCAAACACTGAACCTAGTCAACTTCTGTGATATTCAGACCTAAGTACAGGGACACTTCTACAATAGACCAACAATTAAAATATTTTTTTCTCCTGCTTGAACCTACATGATCTACTGATCTACAAAGTACGGCTCAGGATGTCTGTCAAATTCACCATCCACTTTAGCTTCCATTAAGACTTATTTGCACCAACATGGATCCCTTAGTATATACACTGTGAGTCCATTCCCATCAAAAACTTTGAATAAGAGACAGAACAGAAGTTCTCAAACTATTTTAGGCTGTGGTCCCCTGTGGAAACTGGGTGAGCCTGGTGAACTCCTAATAGTCTTGTGTTTGCTGCCCGTATTCATAATAGAAGGAAAAGTTAACTTTCTATTAGAAGTTGTGGAAATAAAGATGCACTGTTTTTCCTATTCAAGTTCATGGACCCCTGAATCCTAAGCACTAACTCGGTGGACTCCAAGGTTTTATACACATAGACTGTTGGAATACTACACAGCCTCTCTTACTAACCTTGCCCTTGAAAAGCTTTGAACATGTGTATGACTTTTTGTGCCATCAGCAAAAGGGCAGACACATCTGATTCAGCCAAAATCACTGACAGTAGCCTGGCCCCATGGAGCTCCTTCCCAGATGCAGCCTTCTCTTGAAGCTCTGAAAACATCTGGACACATCCTGGGTTGACTCTTCTTGAGTCGCCAGGGGTCAGCTGACCTGCAGGTCACTGAGGTTGTCTGATCCTTGAAAGTTCCTTCAAGCAATATGGGCCATACCTTGATTAGCTAAATATAGCAATGAGATCAGACATTCTCCTAGAAGGACATTTCCCCAGAGAGAGTGATAGGAAGAAGAAAACTTCTTTGTACCCACTAATATTTACAGACAAAGAAATTTGGCCAATTACATAAGCGCCTTCAAGATGTGTTTCTGAAATAAGTCCCAAAGCAATATCTAACTAAACACACATGACAGGTAGAGGGGCACCAATCAAAATATGTCTAGGAGGAATATTTTAGTCTTCAGAGGGACTTCCAGAGCTCAGGAAGCAAGGAGCCCAGGATTCAGAGATTATCACTTGGGCAGGCTGAAGAGTGGTATTCCCTCAGTGGTTCTCAGAGTTTTTCTTTCAGAAACTTATCTCACAGTTGCCCCCAACAACAAATGCTTGGCTGAAGCATTCTCTTCCTAACTATATCTGGGGTTAGAAAGCTGTTAAGTCCACTTTCCTGATTTGCAGAGAAAAGAAATATCCTTCAACCCAGAGATCTCTAGCAGATGTAAAGAAAAAAAGCCCTGGAAGTTTTCATGGGGCCTATTTGGAACAGATTCCACCACCAGACCCTAAACATCCCTATCTCCAGAGCAAACCAATCATGCCCTAAGCACTTTTGTTCACACCAGCCAGACCAATACAATGATATAAACAAGTAAGTTCCTAGTCCCTCTTTCTAGAAATAGGACATTTGGTGGCCATACCATCTGCCAGAGCTCTTCACATCACTGGCTCAAATGTGTGACCTCCCTCCTTTAGAAAGGAAAAAAATGGAGATTTCAGATCAATAGCTGAATTATTTTTCCTTTTGATCTTTTAAGCAATGCTAAATGATGATTATTTGCTGCAGCTTATACCTCAAGCAGGGTCCCAGGAGCTGAGAGCTACTGTACAGAGCCTGACTAAGCAAAAGATTTGTCATCAGAATGTTCTGCCTCTAGAACTGCAGTCACTTGTTTAGTTCTTTCTTCCCTGAGTCTGGTCAGGTTACCACCCAAAACAAGGTGCAAATCTCTTTATAGGCAATTTACAGATAGACTTCAGGATTCCTGCAGTGAGAGGTTGTCTCTAGTCTTATGAAAAGAAATAACTTAAGCCCCAGGAGCCATCCCATATGTCCAAGCCCAAATTGTGCAAAGATGAGATCTATCAGGATTTTTGGAGATAAAGGAGGATATTATTCTTCTCTGCCATGGAAATTTGGGCTTTAATCATCATTAACAGAAATGAATATGGAAGAAAATATACGTGGATAATTTCTAAGCAAGGATTCTGCAAAATGTCTTTGACAAAAGATTAGAAAACATTGCTAAAGGATTTTCCAAAACAGCATTAAGAAATCAAAACAACTGAATTGACACAATAACCACATCTCCCTTGAGGCTTCTGCCATCAAATCATCCCCAAATAATAGAAGAGCCATTTCCTGTGTTGTCCATTTAACTTTTAAGAAGGTTGCTTTGCCTACCAACAAGGGAACAACTTTGGAAGCAACCATCAGCTAGTGGTGTAGTTGAAATGAAGGAAACTAGATGCCTGGAAGGGAAAATATCCAACCCTAAATCATATGCTTATTCTAAATGGAATATTAAATTAAATTCTTCACAATGAAGGTATTCCTGACAGAGCGGCTGTCAGTCACTCCCTGTTCAGACACCACATTGTGGGAACGTCGTCGCTGCCACATTGTAGAAGGCTGGTGTCCCTGGTAAAGATGATGCATATCATGTAAACCCCATCACCAAGATCAAAGTCTGCTTCTTTCATGGAAGCCAATACATGTCAAACCTCATTCCAATCAAATCATCTGGAAATGAATTCAAGATGAATATGTCATAGAATAATGTGACAGTGGAATTGCAGAAGGTCAGGGGTGGTTGTTTCAATGAGAGAGTCATCAAATATTAATTCTAGAACGTCCAGATGAGTAGGCATTGAGGGGGATTAGCCGGCTGCTGGTGGGATGTAGCATCGCTGATTTGTGTGCAAATGTATTGAACACCAAGGTGTTGCTCTAAATTTCATTTGAATTCAGGAAATACCCCCCAAATTCATAACCCAACATAATCAAAAGACAAAACAAAGCTTCCTACTTAAAAAAAAAACAAAGGACAAAAAACTTCAGTAGACAATATTCAAAAGAGGATTTTCACTTACTTGGCTCTTTCAGGGTGTTTCGGTAAAGCCGTGATCGTTTTCTCATCACCAGGGAAGACTTATATCTCATTTTCTGACTTTGAGCCTGTTTGAGAAGAAAAGAGAGACAATCACTAGTTAAACAATTTTGTACATGTTTCTGTGGCAAGATTCTGTGGCCTGAATATATAAGATGAAAGAAGGTGTTGGTCTGAAGAGAGCCTTTCTTTCTTTGACCATTTTCAAATTTGGAAGTAAAGAAAAGAACTCTGATGGGAACTGCCCTTATTTATTGCAAAACAATATATCTTTGGAAATAAAAAAAAATATTTAAAAGATCATAATTTCCCAGATGGACTTTTTTTCCTGAAACTCATTCACTGTTCTGCCTTGTAGGTAGAAGTAAGCACTCTTTCAGTGAGTGTTCAAAAATCTCTAAGTTCTAGAATTTAAATTTATTGTATTAGGAGCCCCCCAGCACTTATTTCAAGTTTATTAACTGAATTTAGTGAGAAGTGATGGGGATGGCCCACTGTTCTCTGAGAGGTTAAAATTCAAGTTATAAGAGTTGGAACTGAGAGGAGAGAAATTTCTTTGCAAATTTTCAGATTTGTTCTGCCTATGGTAGTGCAAAATTCCGTAGCCTCATATATGATCCACACCCTCAGACCCATTTGGGAGCCATCACTAGTTGATTTTTCAAAGTTCATATAAAATTCACCAGATTAAAAAAGTATCATTTTTATCATTTACTCCAGACTGTCCTCATTTTATAGTTGAGAAGGTTAGAAGTAACACCACCCGCCATAAGATTATTTATCAGGTTTACTTTGTGACTACAGCCTCCATGCCATTGGCCATTTTAAATTCTTAAAAGCATCCTGGGGACCTCTGCATCTGTCAGGCAAGGCTGGAGGCAGTGCAGCCGCCAAACAGAGACGATCCACCCAGCCCCAACCCTCAACTTGGCTAGAAAGACAAATAGTTATTGAAAAGGTCTCAGGCTGGACAAACACAGCAAGCCCTCTGTCAATGAGGACGGCTGCCTGTCTTGACACTCCAGCCTAAAGAACAAGCAGTTGTTTAACTTGTTGAACCACAGGCCAAATCCAAGTGGGGCTCTGTTATCTCAAAGGGTATCCAGTTCTCTAGGCTCAAAGATCTCTCTCTCTTGCTCAACTCCCAACTCGGACTCCAACAAGCTTGGTGGTTTTTACCTTTCCCTCTGCCTTATTTTCTAGATCCAAGCCTGGGAGGTGGGGGTAGACTCACCTTTTCCCACAGGGCTTTATTTATTTTCAATTCTGTCTAACCAAAAGGCATCCTTCCCGAAAGGTAATAAGCTCCTTACAGAACAAATCAGGAAAAGAAGGAGGCCCAACCTTGCATTCCTACAGAAGGGTAGCATGCTGGGTGTTCTCACTCTGAAATTTCCTCATGGCAGGATGTCTGGCACGGAAAATCCTGGTTGGTTGGCAATAATAGAATTTACTCTCTTGCTTCTGAGGGAAATCGGTGTGAGGTTCTCAAGGGACTTCTGTCCACCCACAGTGTTGCCCCAGCCCAACTTCTAAGAGTTCTGGGTCACTTCTGCTCCCAGGTCCTGACAGCCCTTTGTGCATTACAAACCCATAGGCATGCAGACAAATGTTGCAGAGTGGACTAGGGCGGGAGACCAGGGACCTTAACAGACCCTCTGCAGCAGCTTCATCCTCTGGTTTGTGCAGGGAACCAGGGTAAACGTCTCCTTTGATTCAAACTCTGACACCACTTTGAAAGCTGAAGGAGGAGTGAGAAAATTTGGGAGCAGTCCCTGGGTCCCTCTACCTGAGATTCCTACCAATCCTGGGATATAGGATAAAGAAGCCTCCAAAAGTGATCGGTTAGGTTTTTCCTAAAAGCTTGCTCCCGAGCGTCTCTCCACAGAAGCAGCAGCCACCAAATCATGGGTCGGGAACACATCCTGGACACTTAGCGGAATCTGCCTTCCTCCCTGCACCTTGTGAAGAGAAAAGGCAGCCAGGGAATCCGGTGATTGATAATGTCCGAGGAGAGCCAAGAAGGCGGGGCGGCGGGTGCCAAAGGCAGCCCCGTGACTTGGGGGATCTCGGAGCTGTAAGTTGTGCTGAAGCTGGAGCTGCCCTGGCCTGTCCAGGGTCAGAGGTCAGCCTCAGCCGCGACTTCAGCTCCGGAGCTGCCCCACGCTGGTTAACCTGCAGGCGCTGGCAAAGGCGGGCTCGCCCTTTGGCTACAGCTCGGCCCTGGCCGGCGCAAAGCACAAGCCCAGCCAGAGACAAACCCGGCTGCAGGCCTCTGCCCGCCGAGCCGTCTGCAGCTGCAGCCCGCGCCTCCTGGGCTTCCCTCCGCTGGGCCCTCAAGTGCCAGGAAGTTGAGCTGCGAGACTGGGTTGTGCGGGGACCTTTCCTCACTCCACTCTTCCCTGGAGGAAGGAGCTCGGGTTCCCCCATCTCCAGACTGAAGGCTAGGCAACATCTGGGACCCAGCGTAGAGTCTTCGTCAGTGGGTCACCTGCAGGTTCGAACGCTTCCGCCGCCCCCACCCTGCAGGCCACTGAGATAGAGGAACGGGAAGCGGTACGGTGGCGTGGGGCGCTGTGAGGCCACTACGGCCGGCCGGACAGAGGAGAGGAATATGACCTTGAAATCCCAAGGGAGTTTCCTGCACACAGTGCCTGCCGAGGTGCAGCCCTTTAACGCCCCCTCTCCATTCCTAAGACTTTGGCGGCTCCCAACTGTCCCTATGGGCCATTCGTCAATCTCAAACTTTGAGGTCCGGCCTTTGAGCCAGTTCTAGCTTTTTTTTTTTCCACAGTCTAACTCTGTTCCCTCCTCACTTGCCCCTAATTTCCGGTGCCTCTGGGTCTCGGGTAGTGGCCAGAAACCTAGGGGCTTCGGCCTGCTCCCCAGAGAGCTAGCCGCAGCCCCCGTTTGCATCCGGGAGGAAAAAAAGCCAAGTCCCAAACCCACGGCGGAGAGCGGATCCCAGCGGTCAGCGTCCTGAGGCAGGACCAGCATGAGGGGTCCAAGGAACCGGCCCGGAGGCTGACCCAGCCAGCATCTGCGCCAGGCTGGGGCGGAGAAGTCCCATCGTCTGCTAACTGCCGGACTAACTCGGCTCTTTGCCCCTGGGGGTGAGAAGTTGAGACCTTCCCTGACATCCCCATGGGAGCAGGGCAGAGAAGCTGCCTACAGACCCCCCCCCCCCCCCCCCCCCCCCCCCCCCCCCCCCCCCCCCCCCCCCCCCCCCCCCCCCCCCCCCCCCCCCCCCCCCCCCCCCCCCCCCCCCCCCCCCCCCCCCCCCCCCCCCCCCCCCCCCCCCCCCCCCCCCCCCCCCCCCCCCCCCCCCCCCCCCCCCCCCCCCCCCCCCCCCCCCCCCCCCCCCCCCCTACCGACGGTGGGACACCCAGGCAATTTACAAGGAGGAGAGGAAGGGCAACAAGCCGCTCTTGGTCCCCGTGCCAGTGGGAACCCCATTTGTCCCCCTTGCCCTCCCCTCTCTTCCTGGGAAGAAGGGATGAACTCAGCCTAAGTGCTACCCTCCTGCGGAAGGGACCCCTCCTCCGCTTAGTGTCAGTGGGGTGGGGCCTGTGTCCACGGATGGGGGGCCAATGAAGGAGGGGATGGGGGAAAGTCTGGCTGGGCCTCTTCCCCCAGTGGGGTTTGAGTGCCGACAGCCCCCCATAAGGGTGCTTGCTACGCGGCGGCCGCTGGGAGTACAGGTCTCATGTGTCTGCCCCCTGGACTCAGGCACTTACCCCGCTCCACCTGTTGCTGGGATCACCTCATTTCTGCACATCACTTTGGGGTGGTTGAGGGGGGACCAAAAACCCCTCCAAGCCTCTCTTTCGTGGTTCCAGCGAGGCGGTCATCCTTCATTTCTCCTTTTCCAGCTTTCGGGAAGCAGTTAGGGGATGTATGATGAAGCAGAAATGAGCCGTCAGGATGATATTTTAATGGCTTATATGTCACGTTGGTGCATGTGGCTTTGAACTGGAGCCGCTCGCGTTTCCTGCAGAGAGCGCCGCAAATCCCACTTGATAACTTCTACAACCCACAACTTTTTTTTTTTTTTCCTCACATTCACTCTTACCCTATATATTTGGACGCGTTTCCTAAAAATACCCTCTTGTCAACGTCCCTGTTGGATTTTCGATGGACTGGAGAGGAGAAGACTGACTTTTCTTATTCGAAGAATTATTTTCCCTCTCCCCCTCCCAACGCCTACCCTTCCCCCTCAGGTCCCCTCCCTTGTTTTTTTTGAAAGGCAGGCGAGGTGGGTACAATATTTCTTCTCCCCAGTGAGAGCAGTACAGCCTCTAGAGAAAACTCCTCCTTGCAGATAAGGTTTTTGCAACTTAAGGGGAAGCAGGATCCAACTTCCCCTTTTAGGTAGCAAAAAAGACTGAGCGGGTGCACGGTATCTTTTTTTGAACAAAGTGTATAACAATTAAAAAACAAAAACAAAAAACACCCTCCAGCCCCAGCCCTTTCCCTCCACTCCTAACTCTGATTCACTCAGAGGTGGTGGGGAGTGCTGCGCTGCTGGACTCAGACTTGTTGCTGGGGACAGAACATTTGATTCTTTTTTTTCTCCCTTCTCGAATTTCTATTTCCCAGCACAACAAGCACAAGTGCTTGGCCAGGTCCCTTCAGACACCAGGAAACTATCAGGGACACACAGGCCGACTTTTGAGCTGGGAGAGCCCTGGGAAAGTGCTGCCCAGCTTGCCAGTCCCAAATGAGGATCTAATCGGCAAGAAGACCAGAAAACCAGAAAGGCAAGGAGCGGCCAACGCTGACCCTGCCTTTCTCTAGCTCGTGCAGCCTGCTCTGGCAACAGGGCAAAAAAATATTCATTTTCATTTTCTTCTCTCAGGGGCATTGGTGAGTTTCCTAACGGGCCGGCTGTGAAAGGATGAGTTGAGGTTTCTTTGTCTGGAAGAGGAGTTTAGGGCTCTGACTCAGCTGCAAAGAAGCCAAATGAAGTTAGAAACAAAGGGCAAATTGAAGGATTCCGACTCTTGGCTTTTTGTGTTTTCCTTACTAGAAAATAATTAGACCTAATGAATATGCAGACACTTCGGCTAAACCCTCGGCCGGCCAGGGCTGCTGGGTTTTAAACAGAACTGAGGAGAAATGTAACCTTCATCCCCAACCCCCTGCATTCGCGTGCATTTTTTGAAACGCATAAATGTTGCTCGGCTTAATTTATTGAGTCACAGAGATTTTTTTCCCTGCTTTTAAGTGCCATACTCCTCTACCTTTCAACAATCATTTTAATATATAGTCAATGGCTCTTTGTGGACGGGACAAAAAGCAACTACGCGCAGTTGTTGAATAGACTTTGCGCTGGGCAAAGACAGGTTAATCGAGGGCCGCATCGCGAAAACAAGCGAGTGTTGTATGTTTGCACTGAATCCAAATGTCTGCATTTTCCTAACTAAATCAAAGGGAGTGTTATTTCTTTTTCTGCTCACTCATCTGAAGGTAAGTAAATTTTCTCTGGCGATCAAAAGCCTGGTCGGCAACAAAGACCGCGCCCGCTTTTTCCACCGTCCTGGTGTGGCGAGTTGCGGAATTTCAATAACTGTGACAAGGGTGACTGATTTGTGAACTAGAAAAGGTTTGAATGTCACAAAATTTACATTGGTCCTATCTATCGGGGATTTAAATACCAAAAAAGTGTTCGGAGATCTCTAGGGAGCTTTGGGCAGCCCAGAGGAACAATGGCGCATTGGGAAATTTACAGTTTTACCTGAATGAAAAGGGCCTGGGCTGGGAACAGGAGTGCAGAAAGAGGGGGTAAGCGGGGGGCAGCCGAGGGAGACAAGAGAGAGGGAGAAAAGAGAAAACACAAGAGAGGGAAAAAGAAGACTGGCAACAAGGTTTCCAATTCGTCATTAGTAAACCACAAACCAACCATCCTCGATAACCTGAAAAGTTAACAGCTCTCCTCCACCGACGTTGACTGGGGGGTGGGGGTGGGGGTGGGGGGCACGCAGGAAGTCTGATTTGATAAAAGCGAGA